CAAAGATTTGTTTTGGCACATCCTAGCCCACAACCACAAAACCCAATTAACCCCCCCCCCCCCCTTTTTTTTTTTTTAATATCCAGTTAATGTTCCAAGGTGTCTACTCCCCTTTCAGATATAAAAAGGACTGACAGATCTTTCAGGTCATTTATATAAAGGCTGTGGCTATGGAAAAACAACAAAAAAGCAGGAATCTTCTGGTTTTTAAAAGACATCTGCCTTAAAGGGCAGTATTCTCTCTATTTTGCTGCCGCAGCAGTTGCTTGCAGTACGAGTAGAGCATCCCACCTAGGCAGTGCTGGAGTTTTTCCAGGCGCACACAATTGTAGGCAGTGGAGTACAAAATACAGCACAGGCGTACCCAGGCTGGGCTGGGGGTAGGCACTCACATCTGGTCCAGAAAGATAAGTGCAGTGGAAAATTGGCTTGTTTGGCTAACTAGATCACCTCATCTGATTCTGTTTGCTCAGGAGGTAATCCCTATAGGATATTTTCAGGTTTGGTTGTTGTATTTTTTTTTCCCCTCCATCTTGGAGAAAAACTCGAGGAGGCAGAAGGAGAGGGAGAAAATAGCTCACTTGCCATTTTGTTGGAAGGCAGAAGCTGGAAATGTAAACTAGAGATTATGAATAGCCAGTTTTTGCACTTACCAAGAAATGCTTTATTCACACTTTTGCTAGTGGTGCTAAATGTTTATCTTTGCCTACCTCCAGGTAAAGGCCATTCAACTCATTCTCATTGCCAGCCTTGCTGGTTGCTCTTCTCACTTCAGTAAAAGTCACTTATTCAAGGACTAATAACTTGGATTTGGTTTAAGTCCTAAAGCCTGAGTTCCACCATTCCTGAGAGAATTCATTAATTTCTGAAGAACACCTATTAGTGAAGAGGTTATAAGCTGTTGCTAAGAATTTATCTGCATATAGGGAAGGAGCTAAACTTTTAAAGTTTGGTCTTAATGATCGTCTTTAGATCCTAAATATCTTTTAAAAATCTGTCTCTATACATCTGGCAGCAGACACTAATTCTTTAAACAAAAAACTGTGTTCAAGTTCTTTTGTGACTAAAGATATGATGGGGAGTCCTTTTGGGCATCTTTCTAAAAGGCACTTTGTCTGAAGTAGCTATTATTTTTTTAACATGGATTTTTCAGAAAAAGAGATTCATCCACCTAATAAATGGTTTCCCATTTCCACGGCACTTGGTTTCTGCCTCATGTGGCCTGATTAAAACCATTCTTCGTACAGGATCAGCAACAAGTCAAGTGCACCCTTACAGAACGCCAAATGGATGACTCTGTTACCCCATGATTATTGGCGAATTGGTGACCTTCATCTGGTGACCTTATGTCACTGTAAATTAATCATGGTAGCAAAGTTATATCTGGGGAGTGTAATAGCCACAAGTGACCTTGGTGTAATGCCTCTCTCAGGAGAAAGCCTAGCTTTCATTTTCTGTGATCTTGGCTTTGTAACTCTTTTCCCCTGTAAAAACAGCATCAAAAGGTAATGTGTAAAATGAAACATGAGGCATAAATATCCATCTGGCAATTCAAAGTTTCTAATTCTCTGTAACACCAAAAGATCTGATTAAAAAACAGCAACAATCTCCTTTCCCAAGAGTAGCCAACACCATGTTGTCTTCTTACTTGTAGTATTAATGTACAGGGTAATAGGAGGTGGCTAAAATTCCTGTTTTCTGTAATGGGATGTTGTCATATTCTCTGGAATTCAAAATGCAACTCTTCGTATAGCACAGGGGTGCTTATGACAGGTGACACAGTGAACATAAATAGATATATGCATATTGACCAGGTTTTTCCACCCATCTTCTTGTGAACTAGTGTTTGATATCAGGTACTAATCAGTATGAACAAGGAAACATTTATGGCTTTTCTTTATGCTGCAGTAAATGTCCTTGTTCACTAGCTAAGAGGTGATTTTGCATCTAAAGCTAGTTATTTCCAATAATATTTTCAATATCATTTGAGATACAAGATAGCCATTTCAGATGACATTATATGGTATCTGATGTATTACTGTTCTCTCCACCTGAAGCATTTATCAAATTCTGTTATTAAGACTATGACTATACATTTTATCTGTGAATGGATATGAAGTAGAAACTGGACATAGGAACAGTGGCTGGGCCTGCTGAAACCGTGTTTTCAGGTGATTCTTTGAAGCTGTAATTCCACATCCAGTGAAATGCCTGTGTTAAATTAATCAAGAAGATTATCAGCAGAGGATAGCTTTTCTCAAAGGCTCCAGAACATTAATCTCAGAAAGCACCATGAAAATAACCAGGCTTCTCATAAGATACATACTGCAAAAGCAGGGTGAAAACTACATGCCTAAAATGCACCTCCACAGCTCCCAATAAATGTAGAAGTTGTGCCAGACCCTTCAGGACAGGAGCAGAAGCAAGCTGAGGAGTATCGGCCCGATGTGGTACAAACACTGGTGTTGGCCATGGAAACTGGGAGGGATATTAGCAGATTTTACAGCTCTCTTGTAAAAAGAGCAGTGTGTATGTCTTATTAATGCATGTATCCTGATGTGATGCATGGCATCCAGCTGGGAGGCCTGGAAACTCCATTTAACTACTGCAGCACGCTGGTCTGGGGTCATATCTTACCAACCCCACTGACAAGAAGAAATATAATAGAGGAAGATAAAAACCACATTTTTATTTCTCTCTTCACACTGTTTCTTTGTGGTGAGTTCTGTAATAGCCAGACGCTCCTCCTAGCTATCTTTCTCAGGGTTCCCAAGGGCTTCCTCTGGATCTGGGGGCTTAGGAACTGAGCAGTAACTCATGCTTTTGGACAGATTTGTTCATGTGTGTCTCTAGGTGGGTTCAATGGACTATCAGCATCCCAAAGAGCCCTCCGCTCTTGTCTGTAAAATGAATTATTTCAAGCATTATGTAGTAAGGCTGGGAAAAAGAGTATGCGTTCAGTGCAAAACCTCCCCTTGTAAAGTGTGCTTCTTATAAAAATGGTTAGAAGATGGGGTGGATGCAATCTATCTATCTATGTATCTGTCCATCCATCCATCCATCCATCCATCCATCCATCGATCCATCCATCCAAAATGGCATTTAGCAGGTTTGTGAGAGTATTTTTTTTCTTGTTTGTATGCTGTTTCTTTTTTTGTTTTGTTTTGGTTTGATTTTGGCTCATTTTTGTATTCTGGCTTCATTTGTATCACCAGGTAAAGTGAGAAGAAAGATTCCAGTTCCTGAGTGCCAGAGAGTATCACTGCTCTCCAGGTTCAGTGCTCACCAGACACTCAAACCTCTCATCTCCTCCTGTCTCCCCAGTGGCACAGGCTGCAGCTACAGACCTGAAACATCTCCTCTGTCAGCTGACGAATCCACACTGGGACCTTTGGAGACACCTGCTCATATGCCAGCTCCAGCCCTGCTACAGCCAGAGCCAAGCAAACTTCAAAATTAAAACTCACAGAAAACTCATCACAAACAGGAGCAGATGACCACAGTATCTCTGATGAAGAAACATAAGGTCAAGCCTTCTACACAAGATAAGTAGGAGTGTTACATCTATTTTCTGCTGGCTATTTTTCAGTTTTTTTTTTGTTTTTTTTTTTTTTTTCCCAGCAAATAGCCCTAAGCTTTGCCAGCCAATAGCAAACAGAGCCAAAATTCCAATTTCTGTTTCATCCCAGTATGATATCCCCAGAGTGCAATTGCTTCGCAAGCTGTCAGTCCCAACACAGGGATGCTAAATGGAGCTAAAGAGCTTTTTGAAATCTCAGTATAAATTATCCTTCTGGAGCTGAACCAATGAACATTTTCTGTGCTCACATGCTGACACGCTGTGCACATTTACCCTGACTCACACTCTGGCTTTAATGGCACCTTGACAATAAGTAACCTCGGCTACAAGCTGCGTGTGGAAAATTACTTGTTCTCCCCATTTCTGTTCCGCTCTTAGAAACAGTTTGGTGAAATGCCCTCTGTTCTGTGACTGCTTCGGGGCAGACGGGGGGTTTGGACCGAGTGCGGTGGAGAGGGGTCCACCTCACCTGGCCTTGGTGTGGCCGTTCCAGCAGTCCTCCTCGATTGACGGACCGGCTGTCACTCGCTCGTCCTTGCAGATAGTGTAGGGTAATGTCGACCAGAACTTTTTAGAGAGCTTTAGCTTTTCTTTAATGTCTGTCACCTGATTAAGAGACAACGAGAGGGAAAACAGGTTAAAAACATCAGCAGTGCTAGCTGTCGTGTTAAATAATAGGTTGTTTAATTCCATAATGGTGATGACGGTGAAAGTTAAAAGGGCTGAAGGTACTAAAACTTAAATTCCTGTATTTATGAGCAAGGCATTGAGCATTTGGGTTTGGAGAGTACAAATAATCAAAGTCACCTTTTTCCACAGGCAAGACATTAATAAAAGTGCATTACATCTTGCTCTGTCTAGTCTCCGTTTGTCTAAGGTTTTCTAAATATACATCTTTCTAAGCATTAATATGCCTCGCAGTCTGCTGAATGTAAATTCAGTTAAACAGTGTACATCAGACAAAGTGTCTCACCCACCAACTTGGTCATGCCTTAGATAAATATTATATTTAGAGCTACATGCGCAGGTTCTAAAAAATCATGCAGTGCTGAGTTGATGTTGAACTGATTTAAGATACACAAGGCTGAATACATTGCAGTACATTTGGATCTCAGCAACAGTGAGAAGTCTGTGTATATACATGCATGCAGAGACTGTATCCATCTTTGCTGTTAGGTGTAGATAAATATCTGCAGCTGGATACAGACTTCATGTTCAAGAAATGTTGGGACGGTATCAAAACAGTTTCTTTATGTTACAAACTCCTCAAACAAGAGCTTAATTTGGCATGATTCAGGCAGCAAGCAAGAACAAACTGAATTTCCGGCATCATCTTAATAAATAAATGCTCTGGCTAAAATGTTATCAGTTCTTGTTTTGCGTTTGGTTTACTAAAGTGGAAAAATCTACAACACCAGAAGGAAGACACAACAAAGGGCAGACTACAAAGGATGAACGGTACCACTGTTGTTCTTATGGAAACAGATGCAGCTCACATTAAGTCGTAATAGAATTTAGGGGAGCTTGTTGAATAGCTTTCAAAGGAAATAGCTGAGCTTTATTCTTTTAAAACCCAAGAAATAAAAGCTCTCCATTCTTCCATTCACTTTTGAGATTGGCTTTTAGGTTGTTGAGGTACAATATTGTACTTGGCTATTTATCTCTTTTATCTTTTGTTCTGAAGACATGATAGCTCTCCGAGCAAATGGCCCACGCTGCTTTGCAGTGCTTAAACTCTGTGGAATGTAACTTTATAAGCCAGGAGATAGAAACAGCCAAGGATGTTATTTCAGAAGCACCGTCTGCATTTTCATCAGTAAGAAAGAAGTATTTGGCTGCACGAGTTGTTGATGGTGTTTCTTGCCATGATGGACACCTTATAAATCTCCTCCCCACCCCTTGCCAAGCCCTGCCTGCTTTGTTTTCATGTGAGATACTAGCAGCATTTGCAAGCCTTTAAAGTCTCAATAGGGGAGCGCTGTCAGGCCAAAAATGAAATTCCAGTTCACAGACCGTGGGCAAACCTTCAGCAGCAGTGGGGATGGACTCAGGATGCCTGCCTTGTCTGATGTCTCTGATCCATGGGACCTGGGTCTTTGGGTGGACAGTAGTAACACCCCCAAGGTCCCCACTGGTACAGCTAATCACTACAAGCAACTCAGTTAAAGTGCTGATCATTCATGGAGAGGTGTCTAAGGTCCTGTTAGGCCACAGCATAGTCAATCAGACAGAGAAATCCCATGGAAAATGTAGGGAAAGCAGTTTGTAGGGAGGAGGGTCGATTCATGTAAGCTTGGGGAACATGGGAGCCAAGGGGACAGATTTTCTCATTTATTGCCTGTGCCTGGATAACTACAGAAGCAATCTGATTGATATCGGTGGTGAGTAATTAGTTTTCAGACCAGTAACTTCGGTGCTATCTGGAAGTTATTTTAAGCTATTCAAAACTCAGATGTTTAGAGTTATATCCAGATTTCTACTGTAGTCAAATTAGAGCTGGTGCTCCAGGACTTGCAGACTTCTGCTTTGAACCACAAGTGGGTCAACACCCATTGATTTCCCCCCTTGGGCCTTGTAAGGGCTGTAATTTGGAGTACAATTTCACAGAAGTCAGCAAAAGAAGGGAGAGAGGTTCTCCCAGCTCACATGCGGCACACACTCCCCAGATACACCCTGAATATCAAAACGAGGACTCCCATTCCCCAGTCACTTCTGAAGATATTAAATGATGTTTACATACTCTATATGTGTTCTGCAACTAGACATCAAATCATTAAATTCCCTAGCAAGAAGAATTTGTTTTTTTTTTTCATTTCAAAAGTGCACCTGGTAAAGTAAGATGGTCTTACTTTACCCAGGATTGTTGGTAAATGACAGCTAATTAAATCTCACATACATCCACCCTGAGGTGTCATTCCCATTTTAGAGCCTGGGGGAGAGGGAGACATTTACATAACTCACAAAAAGCAGCAATAGCAAAAATGACTACAGCCTGGGGAAAGGTTGCCATTTGCAGCCCTCTCTAGGTGCCTCCAATTCAGGTGCATTTTAGCACTTCTTATCCCTCTCAGATATTTCCCTTCATAGCCATCCCTCCCTCCCCATTACATCATTTCACCATTGACCTTTAAACACCTTGTGGACTCAGCCTGCAAAGTCTTGATCTTTTCTGCTGTGTGACCAGACCCCTGTTAACCCGCTCAGGTTTTGGCAGTGGAGTTCACACATCTACCTAAACAGTTCCTTGAACCTCCACCTGAAGCTGGTTTTCTGGAAGTGCAGTGTGGTTTCTGATGGCCTTGAAAGAGAAATTAGGAATACCAACTGATTCATCTCCTCTTTCAGGGAGTAGCCTGATGGTCACGTTCACTTCAGCATGATGGATGTTCGGGCAGGCAATGACTTAGGAGCATTTTTAATGTAACTTTAAATGCAGAATCGAATTAGGTGATGTAATGCCTGCCATGACATGTAAAATTTTTGCCTATGGGTTTTGGTGGCTTCAGTTCTGGGATTTCCATAAGCATGACCACAGAAAATCTCTTATTAGTCCCCATAGTTACACATATTCCTCTGTATATTGTTTTGATCACCACCAGCACTTAAAAAATATGTAACAGATGTACAGTCCCTTGAAAACGAGATAAAAGCCACTAAGGAGTCAGTTAACATTGCTTGCTTGTGATTTACAAAGTCAGACTACTGTATCCCCCTAGTGATCTGTGGCCTTGTAAATGATTCCTTGGTATTTCCTATTCTTTGAATTAAAGATTAACATTCAAGCTCGGTTAGACTTCTGTGGAAACATTTAAACACGAGACATATGCAATTTTGATATTTTACATATTTCCTTTCCACTTTCTCTAGCAGAGATTTATTGGGATTAAGACAGATGGATCTCTGTGGCTGTAGTGAGCTTGGTTTTCCCTTGCTCTGTTCCTCATGTAGCCCTGGCATTATATTGAACTACTTTTTTTTTTTTTCAGTTGCTTTGAAGGTACTAAATTTGTTTTGAATTGAAATACTTTCTCTCTCACAAGAAAAAGGATATAGCAAGAGCCGTGCAAAGAGTTACATTTTTAATTTATTGAGCGATATATAGAAATGGATATTAAAGTAGCCTGGCCTTCATCTATAATTACTGACAGAAGAAAGGCATTACTGTGTAGGTGAGAAAAGTTAAATACTTGCATCATTTCCAAAAAGAAATTCACATCCAGAGTTATGGAAATGGTACAGAGACATGCCCTACATTGAGAAATACAGTTCATTTATTACTTCTGCCACGGGCTTCTGATGTGACCAAGGCAGTCACATACGTCATGCAGCTCCTCAGCAGGACTTGGAACCGCACCCGTGAGCTCAGTTCCAGTCCTACCAGCATGGGCTCGGTTATAAGGAAGGTAAATAAAGCTGACCAACATTTCTGTCTTCTTTACTCACCTTGCACTCCAAAGTAATGAAGCGAGCTAAAAAGCAAGCCCATCATTTTAGCTGGAGTCAGACCTTAGCATTCCTTGTTTTGATTCAGGACATCTGGATAAACTGAAAGACTCACCAGGATAATTCAAAAGAGCATAGAAAATGTAATGCAAAACTAAAAGGGGGGTGACTACATTTTATAAGGCACGAAAGATCCCAGAAAGACACTCGCTTATTAAGTAGGTAACCAATTGCCCATGGAATCCACTTCGGTTTAATTTCTGATGGAAATGTAATTCTTTGGCAGGGGAATAATGTGCATTTGGGAGCAATGGGGGCCAAAAAGTGTTTTGGGGGCCCTAAAATAATTTTTGAAAAATAAATTTCTTTTTTCATCCTCCTCCCCTGACATGTCCTCCCCTGACAAGTCCATCTCGTAGTCCTTCCAGATTTACCACTCCAACTGATATGATCCCTGCTCTCACAGATAGAGGAAGAGCAGAAGATGCTAAAATAGTGTTTAAGGATGGTCGAATGCATCCGGAACTGACCCAGGTTCAATGCAATAAATGAAATAAAATAAAATGGATTCTTGATTGTGTTAATAACAAATGGTTCTCATTAACCTTATTTTCTTCTTCCTGATATTTTTGTGTTGCATCTTTTTTCTTGTTTATTCTGCAATTGGGAAGATTTTCCTTTTGAAATGCAAGCAGAATATTCTGCTTGCCTTTGTGCCCATACCTTCTCCCTGGAGATGCTCAGGAACACCTCAATGAAAAGTTCCATTGAGAGTTAAGTCTTTGCTCCCGGGAAAAATGTACAAATATTTCTGGAGGTTCAGTGGACATTGCTTCTCTGGTGTACCAGGATGCTGCTCTGGATGACATACTGGTGGTCGGTATGTGGCAGCACAGCCACTTGGAAGATGTTTCCAGAGGATGTTTGTTACCAGGTGCTGTAATTTCAGGGACTTCAGGCTGGGTCTGTAAAGCGTATCCTGCTGGTGCATGGCACTAACAGAACAGCTACAGACAGTGAGCAGAAAGAGGGGGTTTTGCCTTAGAAAACAGACATGGCCATCGCAAGCCACGTTCATGTCTGTGTAGTTTCTTTAGTCACACACTCCTTTGCCCTTTAATTCACAAGCAGCATTTAGCTAATGCCACTTCTTCTTTCTACGT